AAACAACAGTTTTGCCATTTCTCCTCCGCCCTCAAGGACAGGTGGATCTTCAAAACTCCAATTATAAAGCATTCACATAGCACTTCTCTAAAATTGAAGTGTCTTCAGTCTAATTTTCAATTATTTGTTATTTTTTGTTATTCTTTCGTGCTTTAAAATTCCTGTTTAATCTTAGCCTGATTTTCCAAAGTCTTCAAGCAGATTTAAATGCAGAATTACAATAGAAAAAATTTAATCCCATGTTTGAAAATGTCATTTAGTATTTTGTATTTCTAGTTGCAAGCAGCTAAACATGTTCAGGGCTTCTGTCTAGCTCCTGTTCAACTCCATGAAAATACCTCCAGTGATTGCAGCGAGTATTGCATTAGCCTGCAAGGGCTTTACATTATAACTCTTTTTTCATTATAGGCAAAATTTAAATTTTCTTCTAATGAGCAAAATCTATCATTCTACTCGAGGAAAGAGAACATCTTGATTCCCCCCCCCCCCTTTAACTGTGATGCAGAGAACTTTTCCTTTGATGTGATTATAAACATTGTCAAAGACAGCGAATAAGGGCAGGACCTCTATCTTTTTTGGCAATCCTGGCCAGCCAACACCCAGTGTTTATTGCGGTATCAGCATGGTAATTATAATGCAGCTGATTTAAACTTTGATGTAATACTGTATGCTTTCTTCTGGTTTTAAACGTAAGTTACAAGCCAAAAAAGATAAAGGCTGGTAGAGGATTATGTTGCTAGGTGAATCATTCCTGGTGTATGGCATATACATAACTATAAGATGGGGTTTTCTACCTGTAGCATTCTTTTTAAACATCTCGTGGTTAATGGCTAAAATAGAGTTTACAGAACTTTATTTAGTAAGATTCAGAGCCATGCATGCTTGAAAGAATAATCAACTTTTACACGTGTCAACAGAAAATGAGAAATTCTATGGCTTGTCTTACACAAGAGGATAGGTTAGGTGGTGAAATTATATGTTAGGCTGAAAAATTGTGATGCTGCAAATTACTTCTTACTGTTTTGTTAGCTTTTTTTTTAATAGTGGATTTTACTTGGGTACCCAAACCAGAGAACAGCAGGTGAACAGGAAAGGTGAACAGTGCACTGTGAAGGGGAGTGCATGTGAAAGCTAATAAGAGGGATTTAAAAATTATTATTATTATTATTATTATTAGTTAAAGCCCAGTCGCAATTGAATGGTGTTTTATTTTGGATTGGGAGTTCTGCCAGACTCCAGCCTGTCAGAGCTGAGAAGACTCAAATCAAGTCCAGGCCTATTTCTGCAGCAAACGGGAGCGCTGGCTCCTTGCCTGTGGATTCATTCAGGAGGGCCCATCTGGCTTTTGATGTTCTGCAAGTTTGAAGCAGTTTGTTTAAGGAACCTATGCAGCGAGTGCTGGTGAAAGCACACATAACTGCGCTTCTGAACTCTTTGAGTGGTGCATCGTTTCACATTTTCATTTTTGCTGGTGCTTGCCATCTGCTTACCTGCTGCCTGAGCAGCAGTTGGTTTCTATCCCTGACTGGATAAAGAAGTGCAAATTTGGAGTTGGGAACACCTTGACTCCTTTTGAGGATTTGCAGTCCCATAGCATTCACTGTCCACCTTCAGTTTAGTTAATTTCAGTTTAGTTTGGAAGCAATCTAGCTTAATCACTGCACAACACTTCACCTTTAGGGTTTTTTGGTCATTTCTTTTTCCAAGGTATTTCGAAGATATATAGATTAGCTGAACAGGGAAGGTCACGTTGGCAGGCAGGATTACTAGTCTGCATCCTAAATATTTTAAAAGAGATAATTTTCAGTGGTATTCATTTTTTCTTCTACTTTTTATCAGACAATTTTCAGGCACTTTGAAGAAAAACAACAGCTGAATCTTCATAAATTTATTGCTTATTGTTGTCTTTTCCATTCTGTGTATCGGTGTGTGACAGCAAGACAAGCAAGACTGCACTGTGCTCCTAGAGCCTTAGTCGGGAAACCATCCTTACTCAGAAAAGCTCATGTTAAGCGTGTGCTGAATGCTGAGTATTTTTGCTGAAGCAGGATGAATTTAAGCATGAGCTGTCTTGAACCAAGGCCAGAGTAAAAAGTTTTTTTGGGGTTGGACAAATACAGATCTCTCTGAAGCTTCATTACTTTTTTTTTTTTTTTTTTTTTTTTTTTTTTAAATATAATACCAAAAAATTATGTCAGAACTATGGCCCTGTCTGCACTTGGAACGAATCTTAATTTTCTCTTAATTTTCGTGTAGTTTGCCAATAGTCAGCAACTTAAAATGGAGTGGCTGGGGCTCATACTGTCCCCAGCCATCTGCTGAAACCCTCTGATGCACTCTTCCACCTGGGACAGGGATGTCCAGTCTGGTGATGAACACACTTCTGGACCTTTACAGGAGTTTTTAAACTACTCCAGTGTCAGTTTAGCTTAATTTCAGAGGCTCAGACCTTCAGTGGGCCAAAAGCTGGTTCTTGGTAGGTCAAATATTACTACTGCCTTGAAGGTGGCAGTTGCTGCCTGGTTTTATTCTGCTTCTGAAAGTCAGTCTAACTTTGGAAAAGTTTGTATTCAATATAAGAACGTAGGATCTCCACGCTTGCAAATGGCTGCATCTTGGGTTTAATGAGCAATGCAGGTGCAGACTGATTGCGTAGATCTCCCATTTGGATTTTCACTCAAGGTCATTATCTCCAGTCTGAAAACTGTCTTTTTAATATAAAGAGAAAAAGGATGTGGTATAGGAGTAACAGAGTTTTGTAACTGGATTCTGAAAATTTTTGTATAACAATGATTACCAAAATAGATTTAATTTGCCATACAATGCTGTTATTGATTTGGCATACCTTTCCCTGAAAGTTGTGAGTTAACAACTTGTTCTGCTTACAGTGTTTACTTATGCAGGCAAATGGTATGCAATAATGTATTTTCTAACAAGTGCAAAGCAGCTGAAATTTTTTCTTTGATTTTTGAGATATAATCGCCGATTATTAATGTCTCATCAAGTAACAAGACAGTCCCCGCCCTCTTTTATAGACTTTGCTTGAAGCATGTCTTGGAACAAGACTGTACAGGTGCGAACAAATTGTAGCTCAGAGAAGGAAGACTGCAAACTTTGGTTGGTATCCTTGTATTGTGGCTGACACAAGATTTGTTTCTGTAATAGGAATGGTGGAGAAGAGCACAGAATAGCCCAGCAATAGAACAATCTGGTTTTATTGTTTCTTTCTTGTGATTTACAGTGCCCTTTTTTGAAAAGTAGTTCTTTGGCAAATGCCAGCTCCTCTCTGTTAGCTTTCTGAAAGCAAAGACTTCAGTGACTTGGGTAAGAAGCACACATGGTTTGGTTTGACTTTCCATTCCGTGCTAACTACTGCCCTGCGTCTTTTCAACAAAGCACCATCTTTTTTGGGTTTGGCACACCCTGCCTCCGTGAGTGCAAGTCGAGCAGTGGGCTTGTCTTCTGCTGAATTAATGGAACAGATTTTTTTTATTTTTTATTTTTTTTCAAAAATCCAAACCTTATAAATACCTGATTATCTTTGCTGCAAGAGCAAAGAGCTACTTTAATATTCCCAGTAGCATATTTTGAACAGCAATTCTTTAATTAAAACAACATTGGTCTCTTCCTGTATTTCATGGGTAGCAAATGAGAGAAAACGCTAGTGTTAATATCAAAGGGAGTCAGTTTTCATTACAGTAATGGTTCAATTGTGCAATGCTGTAGGCAGTGAAATTTAATATTATTGTGACTTGTATTGTAATTGTAGGATGACAGAGGAAAATGGATTAAGTTTAAATATAAGTGTACACAGCAGCACATGGACTTTGTCAAATGGAAGCTGAGGGTTGGGGCAGGACGGGTCCCCCTCTGGCACTGTCATAATGAATTAGTGTTTTGTAAATAACTGGCCACTAGACTATAGATTTATTACCTTTTGTAGATATACGTGGACACACACAGACATGCATGGATTCTGTGCTGACTGTAATTGCAGTGGGGAGTTGCAAAACGGGTTTATGCCTGTAGGCTTGCAGGGTATTTGAATGTCTAGGCTTCTTGTCTTCACCTCTCAAGAAAATATTCTTGCCTGCCAGTTTGTGAAGTTTTCTTCTGAAGGATACACCCATCCTGTCAGTTAAGGGATTGCTAACATATGAATGGCCTCAGACTGGAAAGCTCTTTGTCATTCTTTTCTTCCCGATGAATAAATCTAAACTCAAGTTGCAGATGATCTTTGCTTTAGAAAATTGTGCTAGAGAGACAACTAGTGTTAATGAGCAATATCCTCTTCTTTCCCAGTTGCCCATATACATGCAGATTAAAATGGAAAATGGTAATTTAAACCATCCATTACTGATCCCTTCCATGGAAGATTAGGGACAATGAAAAGCTAGACGTTTCATTTGTTTACAGTGTAGGCAAGTGGAAGATGTCCCCGAAGCAGCGCCCAATGTAGTCTACTGGTGTGTAAAGGTGACTGCCCTGTCTCTTCACAGTGTTTCTCAGATGTATGTTCACGTTGAAACCTGTTCTAATGTTAAAGTGCAAAAGGGGGCAGTAAAGTGCTATCCAAAAAATGTTTATTTTTTTAAGGGTATTTTTTGTGGCAAAAGTTGCATTTCTCAGTAGGCTTATAATCTCCTGTATTTAAAATAATGATCACATGAATGTCTTCTGTTTTAAAGGCTCACAGATGTTGCCAAAGCGTATCGTTAAGCATTGTGGGAACAGTCTTTGCTGTGTGTGCTTCCATGTTCTGTCCTTTAACCCAGTCCTGAAACATGCTACATATTTGGAAGGAATAGAAGGCAGGAAGCTTTCCTCAGATATATTAAGGACATAGCTATATGAAGCACTTCCGAAAGAATTCCAACTTTGCTAATTATGTCTGGTTCTCATGTTGTGCATTACCAGCACTGTGTTTCTGGAAAAATAAAATGAAAAGAATGCTGAGGCTAGGGGTTTCTGCTTGAAGTACTAAAGTGTGTAGTGGTGGCATGGGTCAAGAGTTGGGCTCTCATCCAGACCCGCATGCATCATTTGTCAAGAGGTAACTAGAAAGAGCAACTAATTACAATGCACCTACTGAGTGTTTTCTCTTTCAGAAATTCCTCAGAATAAGCCATTTATACAGACTGGCTGCTACTCTCCACTGCAGCCACTTGCAGTTTTTAAACTCTAGGTAGGAAGCATGTTTCTGCTGAAATTCAATGAAAAAGAGAATGTGCCCGTGTGTGTTTCTATGCTTGTGCATGAGAGAGAGAGAGCAAGCAATGATTTGAGGAGTGATTCCCTGTTTGTTGAAGCAGAGTAAATCCAGCGCTGTTCTGAGGGTTCATATTTTTTATATTTCTGTAAATGCTGATGAAATGTTAATATAATACAATTTAAAATAGAACATTGGCCATATCCATCTTTTTTTTTTTTTTTTTTTTTTTTTTTTTTCCTTAGTTAGGAGACTGTCCTGAAACACATTAGCGGTTCTTTTGTGGTAACCAGAATTGATTTTGTAAATGGATCAGAATTCTCTAGTGCTTTAAGTACTTTTAGCAAAGCAGTAATTGCTTTCTGCACAATAATACAAAAAGTTAATTGCTATTAATAGTGCTTTATATGGAGGTCATGTATGAAAACTGAATATAAAATCTATATTTAAAAAAAAATTCCTTTGTCAGCCTTGGTAAAAAATCCAATCGTACATCTTTTCCACATTTCAAGCCTTACCTGTGTTGTAAATGTTCTAAGCCAGGCTGCATGTTCTTGTGCAAAAAGCCTAGATCTTTTTTCTCATTGTAACAAAAAACCACCTAGATAGGTATGTACTCAGAAGATTTTTTTTTAAGGCGGGAAGAGGAAAACGTGCTTTCCTTTTTCAGGAGGAAAACTATGCATCCATTTTTACACCCTGGATTTACGTTGGGGACAGAGGGGTAAAGCACAAGTTGGTCGAAAGGTTTTAGTTGTGTAGGGTTTTTTGCTTCTGCTCTGCGAGTGAGAGCCAAACACTGAGGGAAAGGGCAGCTTTCCAGCAAAACTAAACCATCTCTTGCAGGTGGAGATGGCGTCCAGCTGAAACAAACACACTCTCTTACAGCAAAACCCTTCTGGCAGCTGCGTGCCAGGGGCCGAAAGCTGGGTGCTGCCTCTGCTTGGTGACGTGGGCTCGGGAGATGGGGCTCCTGGCACCCCTGAATCTGTGGTCACCTCCAGATGCCACGATCCTCTGGTCAGGAGCTGAAGAGTCAACTACCTCTGCCCGAGCCCAGGATTGAGGTAGCCCCGAAGGAGAGTCTGCTACACCTGCTTTGGCTTATTTACTTTTTCAATGGAATGAAATCGCATCCGTCACCTCATACATCACAGCTTTTAAGGAACCAGTTTTCTCTTAGAGAGAGTGTCTCCAATAAGATGTGTTTGGTGCTGGGTTGCAGATGACCTTCCGTATATGTGAAGGGTGAAAGGGGTATGGTTCTTGGCAAATACCATGTCTTAGAAGCAGGTTTTGTACTCTCTCAAGTACGAGGCAGCTTTAGACTTGTAACTGTCCTAAGCTGAATGGAGCAAAGTGAGTGTCTGTATATCTGCAACAGTAATAGTCAAATGAGTTATTTGGTGAGGGAAACTCATGACACGTCTTGCTAGGAGACTGGCGAGGGCATTTTCTGACGTGTTTGAAGAGGCATGGTATCTGTAAGTGTCTCTCTGTATGGTGGAAGCTCTTTGCCTTTAGGACTGTGATGTGATGGTACAATTTGGCTGCCAAATCCTGCAGGTCCATGCAAAAAATTGTTTTATTTGGGGAGAAGTGTACACACTCTCAGAGCATCCTTTTTTTACACCTGTTAAAAATCCTTTGTTTTATTTTAAATGCTCTCCTCTAGAGTTTTGCTAAAGGTAACGTGATGAATTGCTAAATGAAACAGCTAAAATTTCATAAATGCTTCTCATTCCCGTCTACTTAAAATTTTGATAAAACATCATAATGCTGCAGAATCATTCTTGTGTAGGTTATTAAGATTTCAGCTGTAAATATATTGCATTGTTTTGCCCTACTGAAATCAATGGAAGTTTTGCAACTGCTTCCAATAAGAATAGGTCCAGGAAAAGGCACCAAGAACAGTGTCCATTTGCATGGCTACTTGAGGCACACAAAATGGTGGCACCACTATTATGTTGTGTCCAGGGTGGTGATTAAAACAAAATAAGCCCTTGGCCAGGTAGTCAGAAAGAAGACGGGCTCCTTTGGAGGTGAGAAAGGGAGCGGACAATGCGTTACCACAAACGCCAGGATGGATATTAGCTGCAGTTTCAGGGGACTGTCTCAAAGCGTTTATGGACTTGCTGCAGGTTTTATTGCAGGAGACCCTGAGCCCCAAAAGAGGTTCATCCCTTTCAGTGGAAGCGAGAAATGCAAGAGCTGTAGCTTTAGAAACTTGTGTTATGGTGTTTTATAATCTGGCTTTGTATAATATGGTACTTACCATTAAAGATCTGAAAGGATGAGTGAGAATACATTTGTTTATTTATTTGTTTGAATTCCATTTAGTTTCTATCCTGCAAGTCCTATTAACACAGGTAACCATTGCTTACATGAATAGTTTCATTAACTGTGTGGAAAAATGTTACATATAAATGAAGGTCAGCAGATTAAACTTCTTAAATTTTATTTAAATTCAAAACCATGTCTATTTAGCATGTTCTGTGAAACTTTTATAGTATTAAAATAACTTAATAATGCTACACTGACAAAGAAACGTAGCTTCCAAAACTCATTTAAAAGAATTTTAATAATATGAAATGCTGTACTTCTTTTGTTTTCAAAATTTCATTTGCTAGTCTGTGTATACAGCCAGTCTGTCGTCTTGCTGTGTCAAACTGTGGTAATTCTCCTTGCAAAGACTTCACGTAAGAGTAGTGCCTTTCTTTTTAACCAAATTCCATCCCCATTTTGAGACATTAATCTTTTTTTATGAAGCTTGTTTTTCTGTCTGTTCCACAGCAGTTGCTGATCCTCTTCTCACTGAATTCACATTCACTTGATCCATTTAAACCGGGTTGAGATCAGTCCTATAAAATCACTACTTCTGCAAAAAAGCATTTCTGGTTTACAGCTGGGTCTATACCTTATATCCACGTGGCATATCTTTGGAAAGGATGTTGAATATGACAGGAGCTAGTGTGAAAACTCTGTATGGAGCAAAGGACAGAGAGCACCTGTCTATGTTTTTTGATTTTACTCAGTTCAAAATCTTAACCAGGTTTTCATGTAATTCAGCAGACTGTGATTAGGCCACTGCTTCTTCACTGGAATCACTAGGACCTTTTCCTGTAACTGTTATTTGCTTTGCATCAAGCTGGTAGGACTTTTGCTTTGCTTAAAAATATTTCTCCTGTGGACAAAATGATATTCAAAATATGAATGTTGTTATTTTCTCAAAAGCCAGATGATGAGTACATATGCTATTTAGTAACCATTCTTTTTAAACAGTAAGGACTTGGACATGGAATGCTGTTCTGTATTCTGTTTCAGTTTGCACTTCTGCAAGTAACGGACTAACATACTGTGTTATTAGTATTCATGACATTTCCTTAATAAAACTTTTCAATGAATAACTTTATAGTCAGGCTGGTAGTTAAACTTCATAAAGTTAAGTGGGTATGATTCCCCAACAGACGGTTTCAGGCTGCATTTTAAGAAGCGTCTTGATTGTTCACATTTTTAGGGTTATTTTTGTTACATTAATTTCAAGCTAACTGCCTAGACCAATTAGTTCAGGTGAAGTATTAAAGCACAGAAATTTGGCACTGTTTCCCCAGTTAAATAAATATACAAGATTCTCAACAAGTTCTAACACGCTTTCTAAAATTGCATTTATTTTATAATTACTAGTATATAGTTAAAGTTAAGTGTGCATATATATGTATTTATAGCATGTGTGTACAAATATAGTTTTGCAAGTTGGGAAAAGCATGACATTTTTTACATCAGTCAGTATTGATTAGCAAAATCTCTTTAAGAATTTATTTCTCTAAGCATTTTATCTGTTGATAATTTTACAGTTTCAGCAATGCCTGTGTAGAAAGGAATCATAGAATATTCTCAGTTAAAAAGAGCTCTAGCAGGTAAAGTTATTATTTTTTTGAGAATTTACTAATATGAAATTAGGTAGGCTTGAGTGGTTATCATTAAGGAAAACTCCTTTATGATTCAGTATGGTTGAATGTGCCAGATTTCTCTAAAGAAGAAGTAGATTCTTAAGAAATTAGTTGGAAACTGTGCTTAATATAAATTGTAAATTTTACATTAGTACCAGGAACTGCTGGGCCTTAAAATAAGTATGGTACAGAAAATTATTGTAACATTGGTGGGAGTGGGGAATGGGCTACTCTGTTCCTATTTTCTGTTCATGTGTCATATGAATCTTACAGTACTTATTTTTAAAAAGGTTTGGGAACTCTGCATGTTGCTGTTATTTGGTAAGCTGCATGACTGGTTGGACGCGTGGGAAGGATTCACATCCATGGGCTTTCAACAGATGTCAAATGTCGCCCACTATACACCAATTTTGGGCTGACAGTAAAAGTGCCCTCTGTATCCAGAAGTGACAGATAGAAAGCGCATGAATTTCATTGTACAGCTTTTGCTGTACTTAATACACTTTCCTGTGCTTTCTCACAGTAAGCACTAGGATTACTAATTGTGAGCAAGATTCTTTGAATGCTCTAGTCTCACTGTATCTGACTGCTGCTGACAAGTCAGTTGGGAAACTTGCTAAGCTTTTCTCCTTAGCTTCTGTTGGGGTACAGGGGCCTATGTTGGTATGTAGCTTTCCCAGTAAAGAACATTTAGAGATGAAAAGCAGAAAGTTAGCTCTTTATAGAAAGCTATCATATTAGACGCTATCCCAGCTGCTCAAAGAGCGTGTCACTGTCCCAAGCGACCACTGTAATAACGCAGCCTCCTCAAGCTCAGTCACAGGATTCTGAAAACCTCTTACTCCGTCTTTATTATATTTCTATTTGGCAGGGGGGGAAGTGTTTTAATTAGTTGAAGGCACATTCTGATCAGACTTTTAAAGCCAGTTCATTAACTTGATTTTTACGGATGCCATCCTGCAAACATTTCATAAGTGTTGATGCTACCCCAGAATGCTTAGGGCTACACCAGCACTCACAGAAATAAAGATTCAGGATTAATCCTGAAGTTTTTGTTAAGCTCTACCAAGGCTGAACATACATTATCCTTTTTTTTTTTTTAATGTATATATATAAGGTTTTAAAAAATAGGATCATAAAGCAGTAGTCTTAATCCTCCTGACATTTAATAAATAGATTCAGAAAATGCTTAGTACCCAGCAAGTTATTTATTTAAAGTTTTTAATGAAAATACAGTAGTAAAAGTATTACACAAATGCAGGGATAATAATCATACCTACTACTAATCAGCCGCTGAAAGTTTTGTGGGTGAACTGAAATTCATGAGGTAAAACTTTTTCATTCTCTCCATCCATATTTGTGCTTTATTTTCATAAAAAAATAAGGAAAGTAAATTGGAAAAATATCTTTCTCACAAAGGTCATGGTCAAAACTGCAAACGGTGCAAAAAATTTCAATACAATCAAGTTCTCAGATTAATCCTTTCATTTTCAGCCTTTTTTCTTTCCTAATCCTATCAACGTTAGATCCTAAAAGTTCAGAAATTCAAATGGAAGGAGATTTACCGAGTTGAGTTCTCAAACTGTACAGACTTCAGAGCCACAGCGAGAATATTCCCCTGCCATAAATGAGTGCGTTGGTTTAAAGCTCTTGTAAAATGTGTTTTAGCTGTCTGTTGGGGGTGGTTCTGTCCTCTACCTTTTATGAGGCAGTTCCTGGCTGCTTAACCACGGCACACAAGTGTGCTTTCTCTCCGATTGCTCTTTCCGAGGATTGCCTGTCTCGCAGTCTCTGCACCATCCTGTTTGCCCTCACAGTTTGCACGGAGAACGTATGCCACTGCTGCTTCATTACACACATATAGATACACAGAATCTAAAATCAGGTCAGTGGTTTTTGTTTTTCAGGCCAACCTTTAGGTCATATTGATAATGACAGACAAGCGCGCATTTCTAACCTTATGAATTTCTTATTTATTATGCATGTGAATCTAAATTGTTCAATTTAACAACAAAGATCCGGTCCTCAGAAATCTCACGTGTTTCGTATGACACAGTCCCGTTACGTGAAGAATTGCTGGCAAGAATAAATATACAGTGACCAGCCTTTGTCCTGGCATGCAAATAGGGAAATATGAGTAATTTTCATCTTCCTGATACAACATTCCTGCACAGGAGCAAAGTAAAATGGGGCTGTGGTCAGGTAAGGTGGTAAAGTCAGTTGCAGGTGGTCAAGGTTAGCTCAGAAGCTCTGTCCCTTTGCCTGGTTGGAGTTGATCCCCGAGGAGAGCCTGGGCGAGGATCCATGCTGCTCCCTTGGGAAGGTTTGCTGGCTGGGGTCTTCCCCCCGATCACGTCCTCGGCACCCTTGCAGAGCTGGCCTCTCCCTCGTCCCTCAGCAGGCCGATGGCTCTGAGGGGGATGCATTCCCACCGTTCCATTCACCATTTTGGCTTTCTGGAGGTGACAGTCGCGGCATTTCTTTGGCGTGTCCAAAAAATGGGAGAAGGAGGCGCAGCTTCGCCCCATCTGCAGTGCATCTCAGTTTGAACAGCCGTGGCCAAGCCTAGTTTCTGTAGTCTGGAAATTACACTGCACCACACAAAGGAGCGCAGTGATTTATACATCAACAGTCGCTTTTCTTGCCATAACATTTCATTGTTCTTTTTCCCTAAATGTGTAATTACACATCTTTGTCTTGCTACATGCTGCTTCACAACAAATATAGTTCTTACACAGGCTTTGTGAGTGAAAATAATCCCGCTCAATTAGCACAGATCATAAACTTGCATTGTGTAGGAACAAATGATTGGAAACATTGGATTCAAAATTTGGGGCGTCCCATCATCCTTTTCCTTAATGTAGTAAGTTCTCTCCCACTAGTACTGCGTGCTGGTGGGCTCATTTAGCCAAGCCAGAGGCTGGAGGTCACCAACGCCTACGGCTTTGTTCTGCTTGGGCCTTAATACTCTAAAGTTTCCAGGACTGCTGCCTGTGAATAAGCTAGATTTACTACGTGTGCTGTTTAAATGCTAGCACTTGGAGAAGGGTGTTCATTAGGGCAGCAATTGTTGCAGTTGTTTTTTCAGACTGATTCTCCATTAAGGGAAGATGTTTGGAAAAGGCTGGCAGGCAGGAGAAAGAGGAAAGAAAGTCAGGCTTTTAGGTCTGTGCATTCGGGGGCGTTGTGTCGTTGGCTGTGGTTCTAAAACGCTCGCTTCTTGGCCTTAATTGGAACAAATATATCTTACGGAGGAAAAGAAATGAACGAAACAAACCTGCTGTGGCTTTTTTCCTTGTGAGAACAAGGCTCCTCATTTTGTGGATGAATCAATGCTATAAGTAATTTATATTTTTATTTCTTGAAGAAGTGGTGAAGTTTGTGTGTTACTTAATTCCAGTAGGAAAGATACAATATCAAGCCTAACCTCAAACTATAAAGCTTACTGCCAGTTTTGTCTTCATCTCTACTAAGGCAAAGAGTTAAGTCAGAGCACATTGTGTTTCAGTTGTAGCAGAAGAAAGTAAAAAAGAGCTAAAATAATAACAGTCATGATGGGGTTTATGAAGAGAAGAAATCATTTTAGAGTAGCGGTCACACTTATCTTGGAAAAGTGTTTGATCAGGAGCATGTGTGGCCCGTGGGTCAGGTAGGTCTCTGTCCACCCCATGTCTGTAAGCATGATCCTGGTGAGTCAATGATGTTCCTTGGTGTTACACTAGCAATATCATTCAGCATCTTAGAATGTTGTTAACTCTTAAAGTCTAAGATGTTTCCTTTCCCACATGGCTGCTCAGGGAGGTTTGAAAGATTATTGTTGTCACTCTCCCATGTCCAAAATTCGCAAAGTATGTGCAAGAACAGTAGAAATGTTACCAAAGCGGAAAAAACAGGATTGTAGTCCATCAGACATTGTACTAGCTGCTGTAAATGGCCAAATGTGGAAGAAACAGTAGTGCCTGCCAGAGATGTAAAGCCTTTTAGGGTTCCTAAAACTGGGGTAAGAACTGTAAGACTCAATCCATCTGATTTCCAAGATCTAAATAAACATCTTGTTGATATTAAATTGAGTCAGATCCAAACTGTTAAGATCTGGTTTGCTCAGACTATCATTTTGGTTTTGGAAACGGTGTGTTTGTTCCTTTCTGTCCACTGCAATTGCTCTTTTTCTGGATGAGATTTTATCAAGTGTGTCTCACATTTTCCTTTTTTTTCCTCTCTCTCTCTTTTTTTTTTTTTTTTTTGTTCTTCTTTTTTTTCTGTTTTAGATTCCTTCCTGGACAAGGATTGGTACTATATCCACAGATAGGAGACAAACTGGATATTATATGCCCAAAGGTGGACTCTAAAACTGTTGGCCAGTATGAATATTATAAGGTCTACATGGTTGATAAAGACCAGGCAGATAGCTGTGCTATTAAAAAGGACAATACGCCTCTACTCAACTGTGCCAAGCCAGATCAAGATGTTAAGTTTACCATCAAGTTTCAAGAGTTCAGTCCTAATCTCTGGGGCCTGGAATTTCAGAAGAACAAAGATTATTACGTCATATGTAAGTTCAAAATATCAATTGTTCATTCTTTTAAATATAATTGTTTGTTCTTTTGCATGTTGTCTTGTGCATTATGAGGAAACTAAGAAGAATGTGAATGGGTTTGTATTTTTTTCTCTGAAAATATTTCCTTGACAGCATATTTTCAACATTATTGCTGACTTCTTGGGATCTCTGTCTGTTTTTTTACTTGATTTGTGTAATTCAAATTAGATTTTCCTTGCATGCCTCTAGAGGGCTTCTCCTTTTGTGCACAATCTTATGTCCTGTGTTCACATTAAAAGTTGCGTGCAGCTAAACCATGATGCGTTTCCTGCTCGCAGCTCTGGTGATGTGCCATGCTATTGGCCTTGACCTCGGGTGCCCTTAACACCCGGAGCAGGAGTAGGGTGGCCCAGCTCTTCTGAGATGAGGCATCCCAGGTGAGCTTGGCTGACCATTGCTTCAGGTGGGCCAGGGATTCTTGTAGTGACCTTCTGGCCACTTTGGTGCCAGCTTTGACAGTGTAATTCCCCCACAAGAGTTACTGGAGGGCTCTAGTTGAGCATGCATAGCTGCAATACCTACCTACTGTGTCCATTGAGTAGCCAGGAGGGTTCTTGGGCAAAACCTAGACTAGCATGATCTTGAGTTTTCTCCTTTTTTCATGGTCCTGCGCTTGTAAAAAGAGTGTGTGTGACACTGGCCTGTGTCCAACAATGTAAACTTTGTGTGAATTTTAGTCTGATAAAGGATTTATGACTGAAAATGGGTCTGGAGGTAACTGCTGTGTTTAGTGATTCAAATTACTTATGATGTGTAAAGTTAATGATGTGAATCAGGAGTTAGCATAAACTGAGACCTCAGCAGTACAACAGCCATTTACATTAGTTTAGGTTTTGTCATTGTAATACTATGGCCCGTGGATTTCATTTAGCCTCATGGGGACTTCTGAAGTGAGCAAGGATCATGAGTTAGTAGGAGGTGGGCAAATTCTGTGCATTGGCTTTTTGGCAGTTACAGTGAATTTAGATACTGGTTACTGGTGTGCCTTATTTCTGCCACATCCTTGAAAACTGGAGGGCTGATAATAACTATTTCATATAATGTCTGCCACGCTAAATGTTCCTTCATTTCTTAGTTAAAAATACGGGTTGTTTTGCAAGTGTTCTGAGCAAGTACTTTTAAAATAGAAATGCATTTAATATGAATTAATGCTCACTTGGCACTTATATCCATAGTGGTACACAGTGTAAAAAACAGGTTGTATGCCACAGAAACTAAGAATTCAGTGTATTAAATATTAAATGGAGAAATTACTAAATAACAGTTGTGGGAGATATAAACCATCATTTTTTTGTTTGTTTTTAAGGTTTGACAAAAAGATCACTTAATATAGGTGCTTTCTCTCTCTAGGCTGGGGGTTTATAAAAACCTGATCCCACTTACACAGCATTTAACTTTGACAAACTTCCCACTGAAATCCAGTGAGATTCAACAAGGTAGAAGCTGCAAGATTAGATTTTGAGAGATGTCTGTAACTCTGGTGAAAATGTGGAGCATAAAAATGACCCTGCTCAAATAGTTGGCTTTAATGATGAAATATGTTTAATATTTAATGCTGCATTTAAAGACATCCACAGCAGACCAGCTGTAGTGGAACAAATGGCACTGTTACAATTATTACCTGAAAATTATGGACATAAATGCAACTCTCTTGATACCCTGTCAGTTCTGTCATATCTATGTCACGGATTTACCCAGAGAATTATTAAATATGTCTCATTTTCGTTAGTTTTGTGTAATTATTTCATTATAGCAATAAGACATAATAGATGTTGTATAGTTTGGTTGAAAGAGCTTGCTCGGCCTTCAGCCTAATCCCTTAAAAATCACACTGGCCTTGCAGTAATACTGGAGTACCTTAAGATATTACCTTGTCTGCTCATTCTGGCATAAACAAATGGCTAATTTATCACTCTATGGCTAGCGTACTAACCAAGCTGCAGCAGGGATACGCATACATTTTAATAGGTCAGGGGAAAAAAAACAACACCAAAAAAAAAAAAAAAAAAAAAAGCCACAGAAAAAAATCTGAAACCCAGCCATCCTGAAGCTAAAACTCTCACTTTTCTGTCATTCAGGGAGAAAACAATGAACTCAGTGATGTTCGTCTCAGAAACAGTAAGAGGGGTAGAAAACTAGGCCAGGGCTCAGCTAGGACACCATTTTACAGAGATGCTGGAGCTAGATAGGATTTTAACAGTTTGTGTTCAATAGCTCGTGATCTGACACAGCCTTGTCAGATGCGAGTTCCGGTAGTCAGGACATTTACTGTCATTTTTATGAGTAATATAATACATCTTAATCATGTGCGCAAATCGGGCTGTAAATTGTTTGCGTACCTCCCTATTCCCAGAGCTGTAATTTAAGAGGTGTGCTCGGGCCCGAGAGGGAAATGCACAGGGGCTCCCACTGGCTCTGACATTGCTCACTTTTTCTTTCTTGCTTGCTTTCTGTTTCTCTCTCTCTTTTCCTTCCTTCCTTCCTTCCTTCCTTCCTTCCTTCCTTCCCTGGTTTTTTTTTTTTTTTGGAGTTTGGAGTTTTGTCTTGATTTGTTGGGGGTTTTTAGAGGGTAGGAGTGCTACAAAGGGAAGGCAACGATGCATTTTATGTGCCACCTTTTGATTTTTAAGTATTTTAGGATCTTGTATTCCCTGGACTAAGAGGCATCAAACAAACCTGAGACGAGGCTTTACTGAGCCCAGCATCTTTGCAGTGCTCACCGTGGCTGTGTCTACAGCCTAATCTCATACAGTTTATGCTGACAGGCTGTTGTCAGCCCTTTAAATGTTTTGTGCATTGTCATGTACCTTTATCATCTTGCCATTATTTGAAAACACTGTTTGTTTTTCTCAGGTAATAATATGTGGTTTGTGGACCTGTATTAAACAGTAAAATCTTTATTCAGATTAGGGGTTTAGTCATTTTGGGATGACGAGTTATAACACAGGATGAAGCAGCTTCCTGAACCCTGTGTACCTTTAGGGAAATGTGATTATATAGGAACTCTTCAAGCCATAATTTTTATATCATCCAGATGTATTCATGATAGGTACAGCAGAAGAACTTTTCTGCTCACTACTTGCCTAGGTTTAAGCATATAAAAGATGCAACTTTTCTCATTCCACAATTCACAATTTTTTTAAAAAAGTAAAGACATAGATGAGTTTCTGATATATATTTTCACATTTTAATGGTACTTTAATCCAAAAATAATCTAATCCATTTCTTGGCAAGATGTTCCTCAATATGAGTGTTGGGATCCAAAGAGTTAATTCTGTGAACAGCAGTACTTGGAAAGATGATACTGAATGGTATTGTGAAAGTGAATAAATGATGTAACAGAATGTCTTAGCTTTTTTCTTCTTTGCTATCATCAGTTTTTGGTTCCTGGGAAATTAATAGATTAATTTTCCTCAGTTACCTGATTTCTTTTCAGCAGAACTGGAGGAGGTCAAATGTACTTGAGATCTCAGAAGTGTTAATGTTAGATTATCCTAAAATATGTGACCATTTAGCTAACGTATAATAAGTCTCCAAGAAAATCCTTAATCAGATGCATGAGGAAGATACATCATTCCCAACAACATAAATATCTGTGTGAAGGGCAAAGTTAGCAGAAAAGGAGTGTACAGATTTCCAACTCTGATGTTTGCATTAAAAAGTCTTTTTATGTCTTTGCGTGGCTAGGGAATAAAGTATAATTTTATGCTGTTGCGGATTGCTCAGAATGAGCAATGAGTATCTTCTCCGTATTAAGGGATTGATCTGTGAGTACTTGGGCTGTGGTGTAACTGCTTCAATATTTCTCTCAGATACTTGTACGGGAGGGAGATATGTTAGAGTAATACAAGCATATATAACATGCCAAAGATGTTTACTTTCGGTGAGCAGGAGTTGTCCTGAACCCTTCCCAACAAACTTGGCCGTAGAGAGCACCGCGGTACCCAGGGTTTGCACCGAGGGAGCGCCCTGGGGAAGGCTGCGGGAAGCTGTGCCAGAGGGAAGGGACCAGTGCCGCCTGCCTTCGAGCCACCGCCACGCTCCAGAGATAGTTTGGCCGAGCAAGCACATACTCTGCTCACTTCATCTCTTCTTCTGCATAAGTAAAATGAAGATTATGGGCTGTCATCATCATCACTAAAAAATAAGTCACCTGCAATTAAGTCTTCACCTGTTCAAAATTTGTAAAAGAATGGCGTTTTGTTGGTGAAAAATACTTGAGACTTGGGGAGGGGCTGCAGAATGGTCCTAGAAAAGATTCCCCTATAATGCTTGCTCTGCCTGCGACCTCGTTAGCCAAGCTTGCCGAGCTGATGGTGCTCATTGGCTTTGACATTGGCAAAATGGAACACACAGCTTTCCTTAAATGTTTTTTTCAACTTTTTTCAAGTGACCCACTTACATAATTGGCCTCTGGCTTAAATTAAAAAACATGTATATATATATATTTGAGCCTTGACTGATTTAAAGGTTTATACTGGCTAGTAGCGCTACATTTTGGATAACTGCTTTAATAGTAGTGTGGCTTTTAAAATTGAAAGAGTCATTCTGAAACTTTAGCATTAGCTGGGTTTGAAAAAATCACAAGGCTTTTATGTTTTCACTTTGTCATTTTGTTACAATTAAAGGGCAATAACTGTCTGAGGAAGAACACATTAAAGGACCATATAGATTGTGCCCTGAAATATGGCCCAGCTGGGAAAAATAAATCTCTGTGTGGCCAAATAGATTTGCATTAAAATGTTATTTTGGTATTCTGACCAAACAGTTTAAGCGCTGGATAATCTGTCTGGCTGGGCATTCTGACACCTCTCTGAGGCAGGTTTTAGTCCACAGAGCCCTACAACCTCCCAAACTCCTCAAGAGAGGTGCCGGAAAGGAACAGGTTTTCTTCTGTTTGGAGGTCAATTCAGAACCAGCCAAAACCGGGAAAAAAACTGTATCAGAATTTAAAT